ACACTAACAACAAAGTAACATAAAGAGAAATTAAGAAAACAATTCCACCTAAAATTGCATTAAAATAATAAAATACCTAGAACGAAAGTTAATCAAGGAAGTGAAAGATCTATATTCTGAAACTATAAAACATTGATGGAAGAAATTGAAGATAACAAAAGTAAATGGAAAGACATACCATGCTCATGGATTAGAAGAAATAATATTGTTAAATGTCCATACTACCCAAAGCAATATTACAGATTCAGTGCAATCCCTATCAAAATAACAATAGTATTTTTCACAGAAGTAGAACCAATAATCCTAAAATTTGTTTGGAACCTCAAAAGACCATGAACAGCCAAAGCAATATTGAGAAAGAAGCACAAAGCTAGAAGTATCTCAAACCCAGATTCCCAGATGTACTACAAAGCTGCAGTAATCAAAATATTATAGTACTGGCACAAAAATAGACACATAGATCAATGGAACAGAAAAGAATCCAGAAATAAACCTATGTTTATGTGGTCAATTAATCTATAACAAAGGAGACAATGAGGAAAAGACCATCTTCTTAATCAGTGGGGCCAGGAAAACTAGCTAGCTGCAGCCAAAAGAATGAACTAGACCACTTTTTTACACCATACAGAAAAATAAACTCAAAATAAAGACCTAAATGTGATATATGAAACCATAAAACGCTTAGAAGAAAACATAGGCTGTAATATTTTTTATATCAGCCTTAGCAACATACATACATAGATAGATAGATAGATAGATAGATAGATAGATAGATAGATATCTCCTCAGGCAAAGGAAACAAAAGCAAAAGGGACCTATTGGAACTACACCAAAATAAAAAGCTTCCTTACAGCAAAGCAAACCATCAACAAAATAAAAAATCAGCCCACTGAATGGGAGAAGATATTAGCAAATGAGATATCTGATAAGGGATTAATATCTAAAGTACATATAGAACTTATGCAACTCAACACACACACACACACACACACACACACACACACACACAATCTGATTAAATGATAGGCAGAGGACCTGAACATTTTCTCCAAAGAAGACCTACAAATGGCCAACAGACACATGAAAAGATGTTCAATATCACTAATAAAGGATATGTAAATCAAAACCACAATGATATATCACCTTATACCTGTAAGAATGGCTAGAATCAGAAAGAAATAACAAGTATTGGCAAGAAGGTAGAGAAAAAGGAACCCTTTGCACTGTTGGTAGGAATGAATATAAATTAGTACAGCCACTGTAGTAGACAGTTTAAATGTTCCTCAAATAATTTTAAAAAATATATGATCCATTAATCCCACTACTGTTTATCACAAGAAAAAGCAAAATGCTCATTAGAAAAGATATATGCATTAGAAAATATATGTGTTTATTGCAGCATTATTTACAATGGCCAATGTATACAGCAACCTAAGTGAGGGCGCCTGGGTGGCTCATTGGTTGAGCGTCCAACTTAAGATCAGGTCATGATCTCACAGTCCATGGGTTTGAGCCCCACGTCAGCTCTGTGCTGACGGCTTGGAGCCTGGAGCCTGCTTCAGATTCTGTGTCTCCCTCTCTCTGTGTCTTTCTGCTTGTCCCCTGTCACACTCTGTCTCTCTTGCTCTCAAAAATAAATATTTTTTTTAAATGTTAAAAGAAGCATTTGATAGATGAATGGATAAAGAAGATGTGGAAGAGATGGATGTATATGTGTGTGTGCATATATATATATATATGCTTGCCACTTGTGACAACATAGATGGATCTAGAGTATTTTATGATAAGTAAAATAAGTCAGAGAAAGACAAATACCATATGATTTTACTTATTTGTTTAATCTAGAAAGAAAGAAAGAAAGAAAGAAAGAAAGAAAGAAAGAAAGAAAGAAAAGCAGGAAAACACCCATAAACAGAGAACAAACTGTTAGTTTCCAGAGAGGGAGATGTTTGGGGGATGGGCAAAATGGATGAAAAGCAGTAGGAGGTACAGGGTCCCAGTTATGGAATGAGTAAGTCACAGAGATGAAAGGTACAGCATAGGGAATATAGTCAATAGCATTGTAATACCATTGTATAAAAAAACACAATGAGATCACCTCACACCTGTTACAATGACTATAATCAAAAAGACAACAAATAACACGTTTGCTAGGATGTGAAGAAAGGCAACCTTTGTACACTGTTGGTGGAAATATAGAGTAGCCACTATGAAAAACTATATGATGATTCCTGAAAAAAATTAAAAATAGGACTACCATATCATAGCATTTCCACTTCTGGTATTCATTTGAAGAAAAAGAAAACACTAACTCAAAGAGATATGTACACCCCCATGTTCATTGCAGCATTATTTACAATAGCTACAATATGTAAACAAAGTGTCCACTGACAGATAAATGCTTAAAAAAAAACTGTGGTATACATAGACAATGGGATATTATTCAGCCATAAAAAATAACATCTTGCCATTTGCAACAACATGGATGGACCTTGAGCTCCTTAGGCTCAGTGAAACAAGTCAGAGAAAGACAAATACCGTATGATCTCACTTTCATGTGAAATTTTTAAAGACAACCGAGGTCATAGAAACAGAAAACAGATTGGTGGTTGCCAGAAGTAGGGAATGGGTAAAATGGGTGAAGAGGGTCAAAAGGTCCAAATTTCTAGTTGTGAGATAAATAAATCATTGGTATATAAAGCACAACATGGTGACTATAGTTAATAATACTGTATTGCACATTTGACAGTTGTTAAGGCAGTAAATCTTTAAAGTTTTCCTCACAAAACAATTTTGTAACCAAGTATGGGAATGGATGTCAATTAGATTTACTGTATTGATCATTTTGCAATATATACAAATATTGAATTGTTATGTTGTACACCTGAAAGTAATATAATGTGTATCAGTTATGCCTCATTAAAATAAGCAGATAAATTAAAAATGTATTTTAAAATAAATTTAAATTATCCAGCAAAACCAGGTTCAAGGTCAAGGTTACAGAATTAGGTTATTAACTTTCACTTCTGGAGCCTGATCTTGTTTTACGTACAACATGCCTTTCTTGATCTCTGCCCAGATACTGTCTTACAAAAAGAAAGAATTTGGCTCTGTATACCTTTTACTTTCTTCAAGAATTAATTTTAACTTGTAGTCATTGAATGACTTTCATGAAAAGTATTAAATTACTGGATGGCAAACATGAAAAGAGTTGATATGCAGACAAGAAAACTAATCTTTCTACCAAACAGCATAGTAATTATGCTCTAGTAAGAAGGAAGCTAATTCACACAGCTGGAGGGGATCATCAGCAAGTACACACTAAACTCTGACGTAACAGCAGTTATCAAAGCACAGGCATACTCTCATTCTCGTTTCACTTCATTCAAGAAAGAGAAAAGGCCTTAAAGTAACCAGACATTTTTAGCAGAGGGGCATTTATAAACCTGGAGAGGCAGAGTTGAGGCAAGTAGCTCCCAAAGGGGATAGAGATGAAATCATTGAAGGATCCTTCTACACCACTGCAAATGGGGTTTCACTGTGGAAGTACATGCACTCTATGTAAGATTAAAATACAAAATTAAAAATACAAATATGTTGTGAAAATCTTTAAATTCTTAGCCTCTTGGGGAACGGAAAGGATTTTCCTGTTTCCCTCCTTGATTTCACATCTATCTCCAGAATGTATCATGTGCTTTTATCTCCATGCTTCTCTAGAAGACTACCAAAAAAGAAAAAAAAGAAAAAAAAACAAAAACCCGAAGAGCTTGGCTCATGTAGCTCAGTAAAACAGGTGCACCAAGATATTTTGACAAAACAAGGCACCATGTAATTTAAAGAAGTTGTTTTTATCAGCCAGCTATGTTAATTCTACCCTATTCAAAATACACAGGAAAAAAATGTATTTTCCATAAATGAAACAGTGGAGAAAATGAGACTTTTAAGGATGTAGGAATATCTGTAAATAGTGACAAGTAAAAAACTGAAGTTAGGGG